GTCTGCAGTCGCGCTACAACGCGTCAGCGCCCCCGCAACTCACACCCCACGTGATTCTGTGGTGCAACCATTTGAGTAGATCTTTAGGGCACGTGGAGTTGCCTGACTCAAAGGAAATAGCGGCAATTCAAAGACTCACATAATATTCCTAACAAAGCCCCCAGAGTTCTTTACTACAACCAGAGGTATGTTGCCCGTTGGATTGACCTGAGGGGCCACGGTACCATCGTCACCCAATAGGATCCGACCGATACTGCCCCGTAAGGAGGCTACAAGAAGGAGGAGGAGGAGGGCAGTGTGATCTCTTCGGTAACTCGAAATTAAAATTTAAAAAATAGGCATTTTACGTCATCATAAGCATGCGTTAATGCAGAGCAAATACGGTTTTGCGATCTGAATAACTGCGCAACCATTTGGAGTTCATATTTGCATTTGAATAAGTATTGTGTGTATTTAGTACTAAAATTGGTGCTTGAGCTGTTTTAAACAAAAATCCTCGTTGATTTCCTGAGCCGAGAAAACAAAAAGCACATGTAGAAGATATGAGAGCAAGTTATTCAAGCAAGTAAATCCTGGCAGAACGGCACAGAAAATCATGCCAAAATAACATCACTAAAAAGCCCTTCAACCCAAAGAAACTGTCAAAAGATAACTGAGCAGTGCGAGGAGGAAGCTCACTACGTTCAGCCAGCATTTAGAGCACGCAGATGGGCTCGAATCCCGCCGACGTAACCCAGGTTTTCCCAAACTTGGAATTACACTAAACGTGTTGTGAGATCTGTCCAACAAACGAGAGGCCGTTAGAAAGCAGACAGTCTAACCAATCGATAATAATAAAAAGAAAAACAGTTTGCATTCTAAAGCAGAGAAGGAGCAGCACCGAAAGAACTCGGGCGATCCAGTAAAAACAAAGGAACCGGGCGAGTTAAAGAGAATTTCTGTCGACTAGGTGAAAATGCTTACTTCTATGGCTGCTGTTTATGAGTTCCTCATCAAAGGCAACCTGCCAACAGAGTCCTTGCAATACCCTACAACAAGAAGTTTGCGACTATGATTAAATGACAAATCCATCCTTCATCCATTGTTTGTGCATACCTTCATTAGCGAACCACACGCCACCCTCAGATCGGGAAGCTTAGGGGCTTGAACTCAGGCACTTTCATTATTAAGCTTTTGGCCGAATGCGCTCACACCAGGCCGGGGACCCGCACCATATGGGACTGCGATCTTCAAAGCGTAAGGTCACTTATATGTTGCGCT